TTTTTTCCATTGATTTTTTTTTTTTTTTTTTAGAGAGAGTGGAAGGGAGTAAGGGGGGGAGAGAGAAACATTGATATGAGAGAGACATATCAGTTGATTGCATCCTGCATGTGCCCCAACAGAGGCCAGGGATCAAACCTGCAACCAAGGTACGTGCCCTTGACCAAGAATCTAACCTGCGACCCTTTGGTCTCCAGGCTGAACGCTCTAACCACTGAGCAAACCAGCCAAGGCTGTTACATTGATTTTTATATGTTAAACCAACCTTGCATCCTGGGGTAGATTCCATTTGGTCATGGCATATAATCCTTTGCATATATTGCTGGATTCAGTTTGCTAGTATTTTGTTGAAGATTTTTGTGTATATTCATAAGGGATATTGGCTTGCAGATTTCTTGTGATGTGTTTGTCTGGTTTTGGTATCAGGGTAATACTGGCCTCCTTAAATGAGTTGGAAAGTATTCCCTCTTCTATTTTTTGGAATAATTTGTAAATGATTGGTGTTAATTCTGCCTTAGGCAGCTGCAATGTTCAACAGTTGTCCCTTACTTACTGTTTTTGACAAATGCCCTGGAGATAGGACAGAGTGCTCNTTTGGAATAATTTGTAAATGATTGGTGTTAATTCTGCCTTAGGCAGCTGCAATGTTCAACAGTTGTCCCTTACTGTTTTTGACAAATGCCCTGGAGATAGGACAGAGTGCTCCCCTGAGTCAGTTCAGAAAATGACAATCCTTCAGAATAGAGCTTTTCAGCAAGCTCTCGGACAGGTCAAATGGTGATAGTTCTCTGGGGATTGTACTTTTGGGGAGCTGTAAACACATCTGGCCCCTCCAGTGGCTGCGAGGCTGCTGGTTTTTACAACTGCTCTAGTTGCAAGGCTGTTGGTTTTCAAGGCTACCATGGAGCTGAAGGAAGAGGTTGGGATTAGCGTAAGTTAAAATGGAAGTTAACACTTCTTACCAAGACTTAGCCATTTTTCAGAATGTTGCAAGCCTTTAGTTAATTTCCAGAGTTCTGAAAAAGTTGATTTTGACAGTTTTTGGCAGCATTCTCGTTGCTTTTACGGAGGAGCAGATTTTCCGAGATCTTGACTCTGCAATTCCAAAAGTTAACTGCCTATCAGTTCTTCATTAAGTGAGGCTTCCTTGTGCAGTGAGCGTCTGCCATGCACAGGCTGCAGGCTCTCTCTCATTCTGTCTCATCTTCTTTCTTCTTGTCTGTGTATTTGATGTCTTGAAGTGGCCCCCAAGGAGTGTAAGGAGCACAGGTTACTGTAAACCACTGGTCAAAACTCTCATTTTATTAGAAGTGAGTCGGATGGGCCACAAGCAGAATACGTAGCAGACTCGAGATGACGTTGATCCGCTGGATCAGTTTGTCATCTTGCCAGTGGAGTTCATTTTTTGCAGTCTGCCCCACTTTGCACACTATCCGGTGATGAAATAACCTTCTCAGTAAGGGTTGGAAGATAAAGCTCTAATAGCTAAAATGGCCATTTCCTCTGGATGCTGTTGGGATTTGAAATTCAGTCCAGGCATAACATAAATTTCTCTATATCAGATCTTACAGTCCTGGTTAACAGCTTGAGTTTTCTGTTAAACATTTTTTAAGGCACACATTTAAAATCTTAAGTTTTCACACATAATATAAATTTGAAATTCTCACATGAGCAGAAGTTTTGAGTGATGGATGTCTATTTTATTACTGCTTTTACTTCATAGGCTGTCACCCTCCAGCTCTGTAAGGTAGAAATACAAGTGCCTGTTGGTAAAAAGTAGAGTGATTCTGTCCTGAAAGCTGCGTGTGATTGTATATTAACATGTTACAGCATGTAGTTTTTATTATTTGTGTATTTTCCCTCTATGTTATATAATACTTCAACCNTATTAACATGTTACAGCATGTAGTTTTTATTATTTGTGTATTTTCCCTCTGTTATATAATACTTCAACTAGTCTAAAATGTGATATTAGATGGTAATACAACAATTCTGAAATCTTGAAAGATGAAACTGGAAACATTTGCTTGTTGGTTTTTTTTTTTCTTCACCTCGGAGTGTTTTGTTAATGAGACATTTTATACTGCCATAAACCCAGGGCAGTAATAAAGGTGTTGATTGATTTTTGGATGACAAGGGGCTTCTCTAATTGCAGGACTTGACATTTGTATCACTTCTGCTGTTTTAGGTGAGCAAGACGTGGAAGGTGATCGCAGAAGATGAAGTGCTTTGGTACAGGCTGTGCCAGGAGGAAGGGCATCTTCCTGAGAGCAGCATCTCTGATTATTCTTGCTGGAAGCTCATCTTGCAGGAGTGCCGAGCCAAGGAACACATGTTAAGAACCAACTGGAAGGTAGGCAGCCGCCAGTATCTTCTACCTATAGAAGACTAGCCTGCAAGGACACGGGAATCCAAGCCTGGGGTTAATCACCGAGTCCCTCTAATTACAGCCTGAGGGTAACTGCCAGAAGCAGGGAGAGAGGAGGGTGGTGAGCGGACCTTCATCTGGTGACTTGTTGCCCATTTTGTTTGCCGTTAGAGTCTCTGCCCCCATTTCCAACCACACTGTTTGGGAGCATCCTGCTGCTCTCCAGGAGAAGAAGGGTGAGGTGGAGATGCTGGGCACCTCCCCTCTGATGGTTAGGGTCTTTGGTGTAGTGCACAGTGCAACCCCCTTTCACTTTTACCATCTCCCTGGGTGGACCAAGAAAGTGAGAGCACCACCTGAATACAAAAGAGGAGCTATTTCCAGTAAACGTAAGAGGGAGATTATTAAACATCTCTAAGTACTGTCTTCTCTTCCCTCACATAACCTATTGGCTGGCTTCCATCACATTTATCACTTCGAAATCTCTACAGAAATATTAGATCACGGCTAAGAATTTTCACAGTGTAGTGTTTCTGTAGGAACTAACGGGCAAGAACAGTGTTGCATAGAGCTGCTTGCTGCATGACAAGACAGCAGTGTGGTGCTTGTGTTTCCTCCCACCTGAGTAGCTGGATATCCAGTTGTGTGGAGGGGACAGAACCATGCTCTTTCCTCTGCCTTAAAGGTCAATCCTAATAGACTTTGAGATTAACAAGCCTTTGCTCATTACTGATGGTGACATATTGCCTGTGTGCATGTCTGTCCCCAGTCACCTCGTAACCTGATTAGTGACCGATACTTTGGATCTGGGCAGCCTCACACAGTTCCTAGCAAAGTTAATAAGAGCAGTGATTCTCTAATTCAGGGTATCTTAGCCCAGCACGAGTGACATTGGAGCTGGAGAATTCTTTGTTGTGAGGGCCATCCTGTCACTGTAGGATGTCAACCAGCATCCATAGTAGATGCCAGTAGCATTCTCTTTCTCCCCCAGGGGTGACAACCAAAAATGTCTTCAGACATCTTCAAATGTCCCCTGGGGAGCAAAATTGCTCCTGGTTGAGAACCACCTTTCTTTTTTAAAAAAATAAATAAATATCTTTATTGATTTCAGAGAAAGGAAAGGACAGGGAGAGATAGAAACATCAATGATGAGAGAGTCATTGATTGAGCCCGCAACCCGGGCATGTGCCCTGACTGGGAATCGAACCCCGATCAGTTTGGATCCCAGGTCAACCCTCAACCGCTGAGCCATGCCCAGCTGGGCGAGAACCACCTTTCTACGGAGAGTTAGCACAGCTATCCTTTCTTAGGCCATGAAGACACCACCGCTAAGTAAAAATCACACTGTCCCACGGTTTGCATCCTCACCAGGTAATAAACTCGTGTGGAGGGACCCCGTAGCCTCTGTGCTTGAGTAGGGTCTGTGAGGGACATGCTCGAGGGTCAGGCATGAGGGCTTGACAAAGCTGCTTAGATGGGCAGGGGGTGGGGTGAGGCAGAAAGCAGAGGGTCTACCACCGGTAGGAGGGGCTGTAATTTAAGGAAAGCTTGAGAGTTGGGCATTAATGAGGGCCTTTTTGTCTGGAAAGAAGGCATGCTTTCGAGATTAGTGAGCATGCGAGCTGCAGATCTTCAGTGTGCCCTGGCTCCAGTTCAGAGATGTCAGACCCCGAGAGAGAAAGCAGCAGCTGCTTTGTTTCCTCTTGGGTATTAGAGAAAGCGAGGGAGAGAGGCAGGTACCACTTCCTCATCCAGGCTGGAGGTGGCAGAACTGAAGGGGTTTAAAGACCCACCTCATAGCGTCTGGCACTTAATAACAGTATACAAGTTTCCGTGCAGTTTAACTGAACATCTATTTATTGTTTTGCTCTGACAAGCACTTAGCCCTTTGTTTCGTAAGTGCTCAATAAATACTCGATTGGATAAACTGGAGTCTAACTGCAGGCACATTGTGAGGGAGGCTTCTCTCTGGAGTGTGTTGTACCCATTTTTCTGACAGTGTTACCAATGAGGACTATGTAAGTGAAATATTAAGTGATAAATATTGCATTAGCTGTAATGATGGGATTCTCATGTTTCTAGAATGAAAGACAGCCCTATCAAAACATGAAATGTAGAGTAGAGCAAGTTGCTTTACCTTTGTGTGCTTTTGTTTTCTCATCTCTAAAGGGGGGCTCAGAGTGGCCCTGCTCATAGGATTGTGGGAGGGTGACTGCCTAATGACATATCCCACACTCTTGCAGAGCGCGGCCCATGTCCAGTGCTCAGTGCTGGCCGGAGAAGCCCACAGGCCTTTGCACGCAGATACTGTGGTTTGGTGCTATTTGTGGTTGACTTCAGGGTGGCTTGGGCACGTGATTTGGTTTGGCATCTCCTAGGTCAACATCTGGGGGACCTAAGAAGGGGCCCCAGGGTTCTTAGGCATTTCTGTGTAGTAAGTGTGTGAACTTACATGAACCTGCAGTTCAGGAAATGATTTGATAAGCTGGCTGTGGTGGCTGTAGTGTTCCTTTTCCTGGGGTTTGTGTTCACTCGTTTCACCCTGGCCTTCTAGGAGTTCTCTAAGACCAGCAGACCTATGTGGGGTTGTAGTGCATGGGGTTGGGGGCAGGCGGCAGTCTCATGGAAGAAATTAGGAAATACCATAAGCACACAGGTCTTTTTCTTTCAATACCTTGTCCCTCAAAAGAGCTTTGCTGTTCTTGAGATTTTGGCCGTGGCTCTCCCACAGATGACTCCCAAGTCTTCCCTTCCATCCCCATATGTCCTCTCACAGGACAGCTCCTCTTGCATGTATCCAGTTTTGTCCCTCAGCCTTGGACTTGGTCTTCAAGTGAGATCATCATGCAGACAACTTTACGCGGTGCCTGGAATATAGTGACTTAAATGTTGTTTTTAATGGAATGAATGTCATCAGCTGTCTTCTAATAACATGGTAGTGATAAAAGTAGCTACCATTTACTGAACACCTGCTGTATGCTGATTGTGCTTGCACTTACACAGTCTCTTTCTGGCCCTTGGTATAGCCCAGCAAAACTGAAATATGGGTTTCTTGGTGTTCTTGAATCCTGCCATACATGCTTACCTCTCCTACTCCTCCAGCATCTCGCATGTGAACACCTTATATTCCTTCAGGCTCCCTTTATTTTATTTTAAAAATAATTATTTTGTGTGTATATTTGGATCGATAATAATTGCCATGGTACAAATAATTCAGAAGTCAGAAAGGGACATACAGTGAAAGGTACATCTTTTCCTTGCCTCTCTTTACTGACCCAACCACCTGGTTCCTTCTTCTGGAGCAACCAATGGTCCCGGGTTTTAGGGTTCCCTTTAAATGCTGTTTCCATGAACCTCTGCCCTCTCAATCAGTGGTAATGTCTTGTCTTCCTTTTCCCCATCCTGACTTTTCCCTTTGTGTAGACTTTTTCATTTTATCCTGCGGGTTGTTTATAAGGGTTGTTAACTGAACTTTTTAATGCACCTTATACGATTTCTTCAGAAACTTGCCATGTTCAGCCTTCTGTGGATTGTAGTTATTTTTGCTCACATATTTCCTTCATATCCCCTTGAGGACAGAGCACCATCCCACACACCTGCTAGTGCCCTCTAGTTCAGTGCGTGTGTGGGGAGGGCGGGTAACTTGTAAATGCTAATAGCTTAACATACTGGTTGTCATCTTGGTCCTTTTAAATGTCCAATTAGTTTTGAACCCAATACACACTAAGACAATCACTGCGGAGTGTAGGTGAAAGAGACACTCTTTGTCTCTGGCAGCCCCCAGAATAACATACACCACACACCCTTTTCCTTACACAGAATCGCAAGGGAGCCGTGAGCGACCTGGAACATGTCCCCGATGCAGATTTATGTGATGTGCACTCTCACGACGGCGTCGTCATTGCCGGGTAAGGCAGAACAATTTTCCATTTAATGCTCTTTATCTCGAGATCTCTTGGTTTTTCACGTACCCCCCGCCCCCCCGAGTCCCAGGGACATTGTCGCCCCTCAGGAGCACGTGCTTGTGGATGGATGGCCCGTGTTTGAGAGGATTTTGTTCTCTGGGGTTGGCGAAAACTGAAGTTAACGATGAGGAGAGAAGGGTGCAGAGCAGACCTGTAATCCATTTGTCTCAATGTCTCTCCTAGTGTTAAAATCACTCTTGTGGCATGTTATGTTAGATTTTCATTAAGGCAAACAGTTTGTATTTTATGAAGACATAAAGTCATGCAAGAATAGTAAGTGCTGGCACAGAGCGGTCCTGCTCTTACTCTAGTGTTTTGAAGCTTTTCTTAGGAAGGACTGTGGCCACACACAGTCTTCCCTCCCCACCACACAGTACCTATTTGTTTTTTATTTGTCTCCGTGGCCAAGAAATGTAATTTTAGCTTCTGTAGATTCCTTTGGCTTCTGCTCTAAAAACCACTTTCGTGTATTCTTCATATTTTACTACAGAGCTGTGTTTATGCATTTCTATAACGTACAATAAGAAGATCAGTTTTATTTTTTGGATGAAGATGTCTTGAACTAGATTCTCAAACCATATACTCAGTGCTGTAGAGACTAGGACACTTAAACTTCTTGGTCTGGATTGGCTTTGGAGGGAGCCACCCAAGAGAGGCTCCTACCTGCAAGAAAACAAAAACAAACCTTGGCCTTCACAACTTGGTAGTGGCAAGTTTTTCTTTAAAGAAAAATCTCTCCTTAAGAAGCATTCCTTAAAGAGCACCACTTGAATTGAAATCATAGATTATTTTAATACTTTGTGGCATGCAGTGCCTATGAAAACATTTTTGTGCTTTAAACAAGATATGCCCAGGAGAAACATTTGTTTAATTTAATTTTAATTTCTTTGTAAGTGCAATTAAAAACATTTTTTTTTGTAATTACAGTTACATCCAATATGATTTTTTATTAGTTTCAGGTGTACAGCTTAGAGGAACCCTTTTCTTTAGCTTTGCTGCCACAGTTCAGAGGCTAATGCCCTTCCTTGGACACTGTGGAACTATTATTTTAGAAAGAGTAACGACCAGAATTCTGGACTTCTGTCCATCTGGTGCAGCTTTCGTCTTCTGCCCCTCACTGCTCAGGTGTGGGCCTAAGGGCTCATGATATAGAATGGGACTTAGGCCATCCTAGCTTGAAGACCTTTGAGGACAGAATGTGGAGATTGGACTGAGCGAGTCATAAAAGAAATTAGAAGTAAAGGAGACTTTAATGTCCAAAGCCAATTATGAATTTCTTATCTGGACATGGACCTCACAAAAGGCTGGCTGGTGCCAGTCCTTTTTTCCTGCCTTTGTGTTCCCTGGAGGCCCGCTCAGCGTTGCAGATTCTACCAGCACAAAGCAAAGCGATGGCAGAGTTTGTGGATCGATAAGATGAAACTTGATCTGTGGGTCAGAGAGGCTCCTCACGCTCCTCTTTCTAAGAGGACCTTACGTTTATGGCCTCGCATCAGGTACTTCATATCTTGCTTGTGTGTAGAGCATCTTGTGTTTATCATTAAATTTTTATTTGGTGGTTACGATGCTTGTTTTCTGGGTCAGATCTTGAATCCCTTTTCATTTGAGACAGCGGTGCTTGTGGTTACCTCATTGCCAATCAATGTTGTATTTGCCAGGCTTCTACAGTTATGCATCTCCAAGGAGCTCCTTAAAGAGACAGTGGCTTCCTCACCATTTCTGTCTCTTCTGCTTATCTTGCATTTCTTATTTTTTCCCCTTCCCCCCTCTCTCTCTCTTTTTTTTCCTTTCTGCAATCAGCATTACTTTTATTAGCATTTATTTTATGTTGAATTTACTCGCAGGCCATAAGTTTTTGTTTCTTCAGTTTCTTCTGGGATATCTTTTCCTTGGCTTAGGAACAGTCTGCTCTTTTTCAGTCGGATCATCTCAATGTGAGAGGGAGGGCGCATGTGTGGGTTAATCCGCCCATGAGCCCTGTAAGTTCTACGTCGCATCTTGGGAGCTTTGTTCACCTGGATGTGCTCCATGACCAGAGAATCTACATCTGCACCCTTAAGTTCAGCATTGCTCTCTGCATTTTTAAGCATGTGCAGCAAAAATTCAACACTCTTTTTGGGCCACCGACCCTGTGTCCAGCCCCACTGTTTCGCCTGGGCACACCTACCAACTCCACCGTTATAACTACGGAACGGCACACACTGCCTCTGTAAAGTGGCATACTTCACATACTTGGTGGCTTTTCGAATATGCATACCCTAGATGGCCTGGGCAGTTTCACGAGTGTCGTTAAAGTGAACACGAAGATTTGAACCTCTTGATTTGCATGATTTTGTGGGGTTTTCTGGGTCAAGTGAACAGCGAACCACTTTCAGAGGCCACCTCTGGCCGCTTTCAGGAAGAGCTCTCTCTCTGTCTACACAGGTGGAATAAAGCTAAACTATGTAATGTTTTTGCATTTAAACCTGTTAAATATATTTCATATAATTGCTGGAGAGCAGAGACTCTGGGAAAGTCTCTTGCTGTTTTCCATCTTTTCAGCCCTGCGTGTCAGTGTGCCTGGGGTGCAGTGACGATGTTTGGGCCTAGACTGACTGCTATTCAGTTAGACTCACAGCTGACCCGGTCTTGGCTCTTCTTTATTCTTCTTTTCACACTGCCCTGAGTAACCTTCAAATGCTTCTTCACTCATGAGCTCACCCGAGACTCTCGGGTACCTACCAGGTGAACGGGACCTGGCCCCTGCTTACTCCAGGCTTGCTTTTCCCCCGGAGGAAACACACATCATTCTCAGAGCTTTGATCTTGCTCGTTTTGGCCCATCAGTCTTTGCTTCCCTTACTGTCTCATGAATGGTGGTTTCCCATTACCTTTTCCTGATGTCCTGAGTCCTTTGAAATTTGTTTCTAACCTACCTTTCTCCTCATTACTCTCCTTAGTGTACCTTTGGATTTTCCCACACTGTTCTAGTTAGTTACCTCTTTTAAAAAATTGAAATGTAATTTACATACCATAAAATTCACCCTTTTCAATGGTATGTCAGAGGTTTTTGGTATATTTACAAGGCTGTGTAACCATCCACCATTGTCTACAATGAACATTTTTATTACCCCTCAGAGAAACCCCGTCCCCATTCTGGAAAGCCCAGCTCGAGTCTTGTCCCCTCCCACAGGTGTCTATAGCACTCTAGCTATTAACCCCCCTTCTCCCCACACCAACATCTACCCTTCTCATAACTCCCGGAGAAGTGCTTAGCTGCAGCTTATAGGGCAGCTAATCACGTGGCTTCCCAGATCCCCAAAACACTTTTGTTTTATATTGTTATTTTAACTATACAGCCATGTATTTTCTTTCCAGCTTGTAAGCATTTCTTAAAACTGGAGATGGCATGTCATATTTCATTAAATGCCCTTAGTGCTTACACATCGCTTTGTCTGAACTAAGCATTAAAATTTAATATATAGACTGTCCCTCCCCCCACCTATATTCTACATTATGTGGGAAACTGGAGAAACTCTTAATTTCTCTGGTCTGTTCTCTGATTTCTTAGTTTTTTCAACTTAGAATCATACAAGTTTAAACCTGGGAGGCACTTTAGAGATTGTCTATTCCCAAACGCTTGTTTTGTGTGAGGTAACTGTGGCCCAGAGAGGTCCGATGAGCCAGGATTGGCTCGTGTGCCGGCACCACTGTGCTGTCCCTCTGCAGTGTCCACATGTAGAACCAGGCATCAGGGCTGCCTTCCCCAACCCTCATTTGCCACTCTGACTGCTTGTCTGGTGTAGTGTCATTTTGGTTTTTCTTTTGTGGCATGCATCTTTCTTTTCTGTTAAAAATAAAAGCAGCGATAAAACCATGTTGTTTTTGCCAGACTGTTAGAAAGTGGCTAAGAGAACCACCTAAATCTTTGTATGCTAACACAACCCTGCTACGGTGTTTGGTGTGTGCAGTTTATTTTTCAGTGGGTTTTTTATATACTTATTTTTGCATAATATAATCATTGCCTACATTACATTTTTTGACCTTCCCCCCCCCCCCACTAAACTGATGAAGTTGTTGTGGTTTTTTTTGTGTGTGTTTTTTTAAACTATATCTTTATTGATTTCAGAGAGAGAATAGGAGAGGGAGAGAGAGAGACAAAAACATCAATGATGAGAGAGTCACTGATCAAGCCCGCAGCCCGGCCACGTGCCCTGACCGGGAATCGAACCCTGATCGCCTGGATCCTAGGTCGACGCTCAACTGCTGAGCCACGCCCGGCCAGGCTAAACTGATGAAGTTTTGTTCATGTTATTACTTTACATCCTTCGATTTGTTGCAAAAGCTCCTAGGATATAATTATACCCTAATTTTCTTACTCATTTTCCTAGTACTGGGCATTAAAGCCATTTCATGTGTTTTGTTCTTATACAGTGTGTTTTCTATTAGAGGTTTGCAGATTTCCCCCTTTTTAGTACTATAAATCTTATTTAAAAATTATAAAACATATACTTATTATAGGAACTTTGAATTCCATAAAAGTGTGTAGAGTTAAAGTTCTTCCTTGTCTTCCCCTAGTCTAATTGTTTTCCTAGGCAAGAGTCCCATAAGTGGAACTGATAGATTTAGAAGAATGAATTGTTACACTTCCCAGGCTAAATTATTTTAAATTGTCTTATAACCCTCAACTTCTTTCCAATTTTTGGTTTGAAGTCTCTAAACCGTCCCTCAAGCCTGCTTTCCCAAATAAACCTGCTTTCTGTCAATACCATAAATAATCAGAGTACACGCCTCTTTTTTACTATCCACATCTTAACCTCCTGCAGGCTGGCTTCCAGCCCTTCCACTGAGCTACATCCTCACAGGTCACAGGTGGTCGCAAACCAGTGGCCTTTTCTTGACCCACTCCCTTCAGCCTGTTGGCACTGTTTGGTCTTGTTGACTGGACCCCTCTTAAAAGGTGGA